GAGGACGGCAGCCTCTCCTATTTTCCTTTTGTGTGCAGCTTTCCACCCAGCCCATCTCCAGGCTCTGAGGACCATCTTCTCTCAGCCTCCAACCCAAGGCCGCACTCGAGTATGGGCAGGAAGGGGTGCCCAGGTGCTTTAAAGGCCTTGTTTTCCCCTTGGTCCTGCCTGGAGGTTACTCTTTAAAGTCTTGCTGTGGGGTTTTGTTCTCAGCAAAGTGTGTTTGAGCCTTAAGAAAAGGCTGCCGTCTGTGGTGCTCGGCAGGCGCTCAGGGGACAAGCAGCCCCCTCTCGCCATCTTGTGTCCCCAGCCCCTGACTGGGGACATGATGGGGTGGGCGCTGTGGGTGCGGGAAGCCTGGTGTCACCTCCGCCGCATCAGCTGGTTTTGGACCCCTCGCCAACCTCTGATCCTTACGCCCAGCCTGGACCCCAGCCCCAACACTAATTCTTCCGCCACAGTCCCCGTACGGAGCCCGATGTGGGGCCTGGGGGGTGACGGCCTCCTCTGCCTTGGGATCCTCCGATGGCATTAATTTACGTCGCCTCCTCTCAAGGCATCTCTGGTTTCCTACTCCAGATCGCACATCCTTTCCTATCTGATGAAAAGAAAAATAAATAGAGGGGAAAAAAAGAGGACTTTGGGAAGTAACCTGAGGTAAAAGAGGAATTAGGCCTCTGGGGTGAGAACTGTAGCAGACGAGTCTTCCATGAGATGTTTTTCCCTGCAAGAGCTGCCTTTTGTTACGTGTTTCTAAAAATGTAAGGAGAGGTAGATTTCACAAATGCCTTTTTAATAACTTTTTAAAGGTTTCTAACTCTCCCTGGTGCTATTTTTTTAGAATAAGGATTTTTTTTGATGTTGAAAGTCTTTGCGGGTTTTTATACAATCTTTTACAAATAAAAGTGTATCGTTTTGAACAGGTTTCTTGTGCTTTTTGTAGCGGGAGCGTGGCAATTCCAAACTGGGCCTTTTCCACACAGTTTTGCTGCCCTTCGGGTGGGAAAGGAAAGGGGATTCCTGTCAACAGTTCACCATTTATGGCCTTTTAATTAAAAATCGCTATTTCTGTGTGTCCGGCCTGTCCGTATTGGACTGTGGCAGAAACTGGGGGTTACAGGGGGAGTTTTGAGCCGGGC